CTGTGTTCGTCCAGCTCTACACCTTGTTATCTCAGATTCTCCAGCATCGGCAGTTCCTACTATCTCTAGATGTAGGAAATGTGTTTGTTCGGAAGTTTAAGGTGATAAGAGTTTAGTTTGCAGTTTGTTTCAGCAGTGTTGGGCAGATATGTGATGAAGAGGAAAAGAGCAACTGCAGTGAGTCTGCTGAAAGAAAACCAGTTGCAGCTGTCCCATCCTGACTCTGAGCGAGCAGCTTGTGTGCAGAGATGATGGTGACCCTTTATTGAGGTTTGTGTCTTTGTAAGGGGTCAAAGGAGGAGCACAAAGTTGGATCTTTTCCTGACGTCTGTAATTAAATCTTCCCAACGTTTTGTATTGCCTGGTGTAATGTATTTCATGTTTTTATTTCTTGTCCAATGAATATTGTATCCTTAGTGTTAGGAGTACATTAGCACCTTCTTGTGAATGTGTTCAGTACCTGATCTTCACGCTTTTAAAATCAAATTAGAACGTAAAAGGCCAGGTTTCACTTGGTGATCTGTCTTGTGCAGTGCTAACATCAGCTGGGTTCCAGCTCTCCAATATACAGTAAATGTAGCTGAGGTTTCTTGCTCACTTGGTGATTGTTCTGTGTTTGATTGTAAATAATAAGTATTGAAATCCCTCCCAGAGGCAGTAACTCCAAAATGTGGCTTGACAGTATGGCGCAGTGCGGCCTTTCATGATGGAATATTAAATAACCTCATGGCATCTTTTTGAAATAGAACAGATGCGTTCTCCCCAGTATCACAGCTAAAAGCCAAGTTATCTGGTCACAACGTCAGATCTTTGGACAGGTAGCCAACTGTACCACAGTGCAGACAGGAGATGCACACTGGGACCACGCAGAGTTCCTCATGCCCCTGATTCTCCGGGAATTATCTTGTAAGATGAAACTTCCATTGGGTAACCACCCAATGCGTGGAAACTTCGGAAAAAATCCCCAACTCCAAGCTGGGTCAGAGACTTCATGTGGTTATAATTGACTTAATGTGATAGATAGTCAGGGAAGGTTAGAGGCATTAAAACCTGCTCTAACTCCTGGGTATGTAGAAAATAGATATCCTGATTCATCTCTGACACTCCCCTCTTCCCTCCCGTACGCAGCGGCTGGTGAGCGGAGAGGGATGTTCCTTTGAATACCTGTGAGACACATGATGATGCTTGGTCTGTTGGGTAATTTCCCGAGGTGAGCTTCTCTAAGGGAGTTCCTGTCCCATCAGGCTGTGATGAAACCAATTCTCAGGGTTGGATTGTACAAATTCACTTGGGATGTTTTTTGGCACAACAGGAACTTTCTGTGTGTTTGATTTATCAGAGAAGCCATGCAGAGTAACATGGCAATTGCACTCAGAAAAGCTGTCCTAGAGTGTTATTATAGAAACTGTATTTTTTTTTTAAATAAGGAGGATCTGTGGTATCGGAGAGCAGCTATATCTTCTCTGCAGTTAACATGGAGAAGGTTCACATCTTGAGGGTGGGTGCCTAGACAGTGATGAAGGATGTGATGCTAAGACCAGGTTCAGCTTATTTCATTTAATTTTATTTCATTATAAATAGACCCCAATTTAGTTGCTGGCTGTGGAAGTCTTAGAAACATAAGAACATAATAACATTAGAATCCCAAAACATGGAAGGAGGCTATTTGGTCCATCGAGTCCACACTGACTCTCTGAAGAGCATCCCACCCAGACCCACCCCCTACCCTATCCCTGCAACCCTGCATTTCCATTGGCTAACCCACCTAGCCTGTACATCCCTGGATACAAGGGCAATTTAGCATGGCTAATCCACGTAACCTGTACATCTTTGGACTGTGGGAGGAAACCAGAGCACCTGGAGGAAACCCACACAGACACAGGGAGAATGTGCAACCTCCACACACACAGTCGCCTGAGGGTGGAATCGAACCTGGGTCCCTGGTGCTGAGGCAGCAGTGCTAACCACTGAACCACAGTGCTGCCGAAGTGGAATCTGAGAGTCTGCACAGAGCTGCAGGGTGAGAGGCACAATTCATTTGCATTCTCTAAATGACTGTAATAAACCTTTACATTATCACTGTTTCATTCTGTGACTGCTACTGTACTTTGTATAGTGAAATAGCAGTGATGCCAACTTTGTTTATTGAGGACTGTGGCTTCTCCATCAAGCAGAGGAATTCCCCACTCATATTATCAGAAATACAAATTCGGCCAGAGATTGCCAGGATGTAGCAGAAAGGGATAAGACTGACCTGGGGTATACCAGGGAGAGTTATCGCTGTATATATTTAGGCGCTACTCTGATGAAGATTGTTATGGATGATATTGTAATGAACACTATATTAAATGTTTGATTTAAGTGTGAGATTGAGATCTGAGTTGGAGTATAAAGGGTAGAAGCTGCCTGGTCAAGATATTCCAGGCCTCTGAATAAGTGCTGACTGCATTATTTATCATCTCACCAGTCTGCAGCAGTTGTGTTTAGGGTGACAGCCTTTTGTCTTTAGATGTATGTATCAGTTATTTTGCTATCTTATCCCTGTTTCTTGTGCCAATTTAAAGAGAGTGTGGTATCTAGGAAATAAACGTTTTGTTGCTTTAAGTATAAAGAGGTTGATAATTATTTAAGACACTGATGAATTCTTCTGTGCGAGTCCAAATACATCAACACAAATGCAGAAGGTAATGTTACGATGTGGCTGCATTGCCTAATAACAGAGTTAATGAGAAGGAAAAGGAGCATCTGAAAGCTAAGAAGTGGCCCTTGAGAGCAGCTCTCAATGAAAAGAGTAA